AACGACCAATTGATAAATTGATATTGCTTGTTGAAGGTGAAGGTCAAGACGCGGAGTCCGTCCCCGTCGAGGAGCCATAACGTACATTTCAGAGATACATTCAATTACCTAAATTATTAGCAACTTTTATTTAAAAAGAAAAACGTTAAAAAAAATCTTGTAGTGAAATCGGCGATTTCAGAGGAGCCATGTAAATGTATATATTAGCATAATTAGTCATTCAAATTGTAGTGCATGTGCTAAGATGTGACACGCCGAACTTAGTTATTAGGAATTGAGAATTAGACGTATGAACAACCTTTCGAAGCAGTTTAAACATTGGACAAATATGTAAGTTATCTAGTTAGAAATTGAACATGATTTTATTTGATTTTAGCTTAGCTTAATCTAATATTTATTGCATTAACTTTGTAGTTTACGAATTCAAATTATACAACTAACGACAAAGTCTACGCGAATTCAGTAAAATAGTCTAAACAGAAGCCACGACACCTCTTGAAAGTCGGTGATAGATCTTGAGAGTCGAATCGCTTCAGCTACACCAAGAAAGGTTTAACTATTCCCAGACTTGAACTTGTCGCAGGTCATATGTCCACGAACTTGCTTCATAATGTGAAAGAATCCTTGATGGGATTTCCGGTTCGAAATACGTTCAGCTGGCTCGATAGTACCGTAGCATTATATTGGATCGCGTCCGGAAGATTCAATGGAGGTATGTTAGTTCAAAAGAAAACCCAGCGTATCTCGGAAGTCGCGCGGCAAGGCGGACGAGTCATCTGAGCTATGGTTCAAGGGACCACCGTGGCTAACCAAAGAGAGCGAGTGGCCTGAAGATATCGTGAACAGTCTAAGTAAAGAATCACTGGCCGAAGCTAAAGTTATCAAAGAAATCCTAGCCGTAGTCGTGGAACCAGAGCAAGATGAACTAGATAACCTTATCGAGAAATGGGATCTTTGGAAAGCCGTCCGAATTACAGCATGGATAGCGAGATTTACCAAGAATTGCCGAACGAAGGAGAAAATAACCGGTCCTCTGACAACTGAAGAAATAAACGAACAGCTCGAGTTCTGGATTACAGGTAAACTACGTGAAGCGTTCCTCTTTTGACTTCGTAACTCATTGGAATTTTCCTCATTAGCTTTGCAAATTTGAAAAACTCTTTGCAAATCCCTTGAGGGAATTTGCAATGTTCCTATCGGCTGTTGCAATATTTCAAACCTCATTTTAAATTTTCCTAACTTCCTGTTTTAATTTCCTAACTTCCTGTTCTGTTCTTAGCATTGTTATTGGTCGATTATTTTTGTTAGCCAATTGCAACGTCCAGAACAGAACAGGAAGTTAGGCTTTTAGCAATATTGCAAATTCCCTCAAGGGATTTGCAAGGGAGTTTTTTAAATTGCAAAAGTAATGAGGAAAATTGCAATCAATTTAGAAACTCAAAAGAGGAACGCTTCACATAGTTTACCTGTAAAAGAACACAATCCCGATGTGAAGGGAAAGAAAAATTCGGAGAGGACAGGCTCCAACTAAATCTTCAATTAATTAAACGAACGAGATATCCATGAATATAGAGGAAGAGAGCAAGGAGACTATCCTATTTATGTTCCAGACGAAGACGTACTTGCCGAGAAATTAGTTACACATGCACATCCGCAGACCTTACATGGGGGAGCCTTGCTAACAATGACTAAGATCAGAGAGAAATATTGGATCCCAAGATTAAGACGATTGACGAAACGTGTGATACGAAAGTGCCATGGATGTAAAAGATTCCAAGTCAAAGCGTACGCAGATCCTCCGACAGCTAATCTACCCCTCGAGAACACCGCGGAAAAACGTCTGCGCATGCGTCAACCTTACCTGTAATAGTATTGCGAACTTGATGAAAAGCTGTTCCGAACGTTTCCGAAGGCTCAAAATGGCGGTAGAAAGGAGTGACTTCATTGTGCATCTTTACAGCCAGATTTCGAGTGCAAAAATAAACATGTCATTCTAAAAACTAGGAATAAATACAGCCAGAAGGTTCAAGAAATTGTATTGTACAAGAACATGAACTAAAGGTGATTGTTGACAAATTTATCGTCTGAAACATTTTGTTTTATCAACTAAGCAACGACAATTTCCGAATTTTCGTTTGAGATACATTTCTTTAAAAAAAACTGTGTCGCCAAATATCAAAAATTTCGTGTTCACAATAATTAAACTTTAGGATTTATTCTACAATTTGAGTGGGTTAAGAAGCTTAACTTTTCGAGAGTTTTCTTAACTTTTGAGTTTGAATTTTTGTTTTGAATAATTTTGCAAAAATTTTCGAAGTCGTGTCCGTTAAAATCAACAATTTTTACATGAATTATATTTCATTCCATACTTTAAATGCCAGGACGCTTTCAATTAATGTCTAGTCTACCCATTTGCTATATTTTCTCGTTTGTTTTACTAATTTTTGACCAATTGATAAGCATGTTTTTGTTTTAGAAATTGATATTCAAATTCCCCGCCATATTTTCATAATTTGGTGCATGCGCAGACGTTTTTCCGCGGTGTTCCCCTCGAGAGGACGACCGGTTCAACATCCTTTAAAGTCATCGGAGTTGATTATGCAGGTCCGATCAGATATCTAAGCAAAACGAAGAAGGAAAAATATCTTACGTGGCGTAAAATGCGTGCAGTCTAACGAGAGCTCTCTATCTCGACATATTACCAGATCAAAGGACTGAAGAGTTCTTGCTCAGCTTGAAACGATTTATAGCAAGGAAAGGACGTCCAGAAAAACTATTCTCGGACAACGGTGAAACATTCGTAGCGACAGCAAAATGGCTGAAAAGAGTTCGAAACGACGAGAAATTCAACGACTGGTTGGCAAAGCAAGATATCAAGTGGAAGTTTAACTTAAGTCGCGCCCCTTGCTGGGGCGGCCAGTTCGAACGGTTAGTCGGTGTGATGAAACAAGCTCTATATAAATCGATCGGGCATGGAAACTTACGTTGGAAAGAGTTAGAAGAAGTTCTGTTGGACGTTGAAACCACTGTCAACAATCGACCGCTGTCATATATCGAGGACGATTTCCAGATGCCAATATTGACTCCAAATTCGATGCAGTTTGTGCTCCCCACTCAAATCCCAGAAGAAAATACTGCCGGAGTTGAAAATATCGACCTTCGTAAACGTGCAAGGTACTTGAGAAGATGTAAAGATGTCGTTTGGTCCAGATGGACGAACGAATACCTCAAATCATTACGAGAAAGACACAAGCTAAAGCACAACACGAAGCAGATGACAGCGAAGCGAGGCAGGGGCGGAGCGACGACTATCCTTTTCGGGGGGTGCAAGACAACTTTTTGCCGACAAAAGGGCGTGGCTAGCGAGCGGTTAGGGCGTGGTCAAAGCGAACCATTTTTAAGTGATGTACAACGATTAACTCCGAGTAGTAAGAAAATTTATTTTAATTTATTTTTAAAATAGGCGAAATAGTTCCGAAAAAAATCGAAAAAGCACATCCATTCGTCATCAAACGACCGATTACAAACTAAACACGTCAGTTTCTCTCTCTTCCGTTTGCGTTTTTGCTTGCTACTGTCCATACTTTTAAATCATCTCCGTATTTCTCATTGTATAAAAGACCGTTAGGTGTAATTTCTAAGACTTTTACTGGCTTTACAAGATTATGAAATGAAGCGCAGGCGCATCGACAGTCAACACGCACATGTGCTTCGAATTTCCTAGCTATGGTATAGGCCTACTTCACAAAATTGCAAGAAAATATAATACTATTAAAAAACGTATTAGCGTAATAAGTTCTTGGCCAATTTAGCTGAATGTTCGGAAAAGGGCCGAACTTTCAGTCGACATATCCATCTTTTCGATCTCGCATTTTCTACAAATTTTCTACAAACAATCCCTCTCCAATCAGGTATTGCCTATTGGCTTGATCCAATTTATTTTGCCGACAACTGATTTATTGTGCCGACGGACACGGCATTGGGGGGGGGGGCGCCGCCCCCCCCCCTTAGCTACGCCCCTGACCGTTTCGCTACTTCTAAATGAGTACTTAACCAATATTCTAAATTTTAGAATGCGGGTAGTACCCATGCTAGGTATATACCTCAGCAATCCTAACCCTAACCCCTAACCAACCACTAAAATGGTTTGCACAACACCCACCCCACCAACCGCCAGTGTTGGTTGGTTATATTTATACGTAAAACTTTTGCCCAATGCTTGTGGTTTTGTCTTCAGTCGAAGTAGGTCAGGTATATACCTATTAGAATGTTAGGGTTTGTAATCCAAGTGAGAATATATACATTTTAAGACCTAACCAGGAACGACTGTGAAAAATGCAGCACAAGGTCCTCTGGTAGGAATTGAACCTACGGCCCTGCGATTCCGGTGCAGCGCTCTAACCAACTGAGCTACAGAGGCCAGCTGTTGAGCTGTAACCGTAAGTTCATGTATATATAGGTGATCGGGTGTGCGGGTTGTGATGAGGTGGACTTCAATGATCTCGTTTCTTGCACTTCACTTGGTGGTATTAATATTTGAATGCTGTTCTTAGGGTTTGTAATCCAAGTGAGTATA